ATATATATATACTTATACTAAAAAGACATTAGAAATTACTAATAAATAATCACTCTTTAGCACATCTTGCCATCGTGAAAAGGAAAGTTGATGAACTTGTTGAAGAGAGAAAAAGGTGAACTCTTTAGCACATCTTGCCATCGTGACTGACTGAGAATAAAGTTTGTTTTTGCATATTTTAGTTTGCTTGAAGAAATAAATAGAAGTCACAGAGAATTAATTGCGGCTCAAATTTGGTTGGGGAAGCTCGAGGAGAATGAGGAATTTTTATCTACTGAAAATGAACTATTGAAGGTTTTACTTCATCATATGTTGTTTTTTTTAATGATTTTAATTGTTTAATCTCTACATTTCTCATTCACCACAACATGCAATTCAATACTTTTTGAATGTTTTGCAGGCTGATAATGCCAAATTGTCATGGAACTTGAGGAGGAATTAGAAAAAATTTCTATTCTATTGGATATGCAATAACCCACTCCATGTTAAGGGTGATTTTATTGAAATTATTGAACTTTGTTGGATAACATATTCTGATATTGTTCTATTTATTTCCTATTTTTGCATTAGCCAATCCCATCTTTATTTTGTTTCTTTTTTTTTATTTTTTTGGTATTTTTGGATAAAAGAAGCTTGGTTCCCTAGTCTCTCTCTTGTCAATGTAGTTTGGCAAGATCTTTATTTAGTGATTGAATTCATTATAGATTTTTTTTTTGTTATTAAATAGTATATTATCTAACCTCTATATATATATAATCTTGCTGCTGTACTAATTTCTCATTAGACTCTTAGCTACCAAAGAGATTTCTAATAAATAATCACTCATTGGCCTATCGCAAATATTGAGTTTTATGGCCAATTTTTGGTCTTAGATTTGTTGATTTCTTCCTTTTTATTGGTGTTTTTTGGGAGGCAAATTTTTTATCAAATTATGTAAAGAGCAGATTATTGAAAAAATGTAAAGCTTCATTTCATCTCATGATGATCTTCATGTTAATTAATTCTCTATGTTTCTGACAATTGTAATAATCCTGTGCAAAGAAGAGTAAACGCCTCTTTAATCGATTGGGCTGTGGATCTTCTAATTCTTCTTGTTGTGATGGGTATAATTTTTAAGCATTTTATCAAGAGATAGAACCCCATACCATGGTGTTATATTTATTTTACAATCATTTTAGGAGTTTATTGCAATTATTTCTTCACTAATTTAATCGGGTCATGCATCATAGGGCTGTCAAAAATTGATTTAACATGTCAACTAAACCCAACCCGACTCAAAAAATCAATCTTTGGGTAGACCCGAATAAATTTTGAGTCGGGTACAGGTTAAAAATTTTAACCTGTTTAATTTTTCAAGATGGGTTTATGTTGACCTGCCAACTCGAAATTGACTTTAAATAGAGCCGCCAACCCAGTTTTGACTCAAATAATTGTTATTCCTTATATTAAACGAGATATGGGTTTGGATTGGCGGGTTGAAGGTGAGTTGTGTTCGGGTTGAACTTTTTGACTCGTATAATACATGTGTTTGGTTTGGGCCAAGCTATTTTTGTTGGAGTCAATTTTTTGGTCCAATGTGAACATGACTCGCAAACCCAACTTCATACCTCTAATGCATCCTTCGTTACTCTAAAAAGACAATCTAGTGTACAAGTAAACAATAATTTAGTGGTTTTTATGAAACTTAAATTTATGTTTTTTTTTAATTTTAATCTATAATATAGTTGTAAGTAAGGCATAATCCAAATAACATAAAATGACTAAAAGAAAATAAAACAAAAATATGCCAAAAAAAACTAAAACCACTAAACAAAACCAAACTACCAACTCACTTTTTTGAACACCTCAAAATGAGGAGGACCCAAATAAAGAATGAACAACACACATGTTTGGTCGTGTGTCGTTGATGATAATCTTAATACTCTTAAGTGGTGATGTTGAAGTATAATTTTTTTCGCATTATCACCATTAAGATGATTAATAAAACTATGTATTTCCGTAATTTTTTTCAAAGATAAAAGAATTAATTTCACATTGCCATCATAAAAAACATTATGGAAAGTAATATCTCAAAAGAAATTAAAAAGGAATAATTATAATTTGTTTAAACTTATCAATAATGGAGTAATTAATAAAAATTTGAATTATCATGAAGTCGTAGAAATGAGATCAACCACTTTTCAATTTGAAATGGATAAAATCTAAAAAAGATTGAACTAAAATTTTGGTCTCCTCTCTTTCTCTTTCATTAATGGTTATAATGCAAGTATGGAAGGTTTAGATGCTCTGTTAAGTCAAGCAATAATTCTATCAATAATCAAATGATGAAGTCAATAGTCCATGAACACGTAAGCTAGCTCCTACCATTTCAAATCTCTCATGATACTATCTAAAACTTCATGATTTGAATTTTTTTCTTACACAAAGTTATTTGTGGCTCCAAGAAACATGTTGTTTAATTAAAATATAAAATTCAGACCTTCAAATAAACAATGTCATGTCTATAATTCCTATAGAAAATTTCTTTGAATTAAGACTGTATTGAGCATTTCATATCATATCATTAGGGTTTGCTTTAATTCGTACACATGCTTCTTCAATCTATAAACATGATTAGGCTACATTGAACTCCAAAAACTAGAAGGCCACTTATTATACATTTGTTTTTCATCAAGTCCTTTTAGATGCACATATGAGATCCATGTAATAAGCCCTTTTTTTCTATTTGATTAAAGCCTTTTGTATTTATTCATGACTCGGAATTTGAAGAAATTCATTTAGTATGTTTTAGGATGTATACTAAGTGTTTTGCTTCATTACTATATTTTATTTTTAATTTATTTTGCACATTCATATAAGCATTACTTGTCTTTTATGATGTCGATAAATCAACTTAAATTGTTCGGTTATTTGGGACATGGACAATTATTTTTGACCAAATCTTATTAATCCTCAAAAGATGGCTAATTGGTTAATATTTGAATGTTAACATTGCTAAACATATAGTATATTTTAAACATGTGGGTGATAAGATTTTAACAAGTGTTTCATAAATTAAATTTTTATGAACATTCTGAAAATTCTTTGCTTTAATCTATATTTATATTATAAAATAATTGAAAAATTCTCAGATTTTCTTAAAATTTGTTGGCTTTGAATATTTATCATTGAGAAATAATAAGTATATGTTCGTTAAATTTATATCGGATATTTTTTATGAACATGGATTAAATTAGTCATAATTGATAATGCTTTGACTTAGGTTCTTATTATTAAGATTTATATTTAAAAAGGCTCGGATTATATAAAAATATGAGAGCTCCTAATTTTAAGTAAAAGATCGTAATGCAATTTTTTTCCTCAAGATATAAGTATTAGAAATTACGTGTCTTTAATCAAGCAATAGTCGCATGATGGAAAATAATCTAATGTTGTGCGAATGTCGAGTGATTTTGTATTTGTAGGGATAAGTTAAGAGCGACAAATATGTGACTAGGGCTATCAAAATGTCTTTTTGTTTATAAAAATATCCCATGTGCGACTCAATAAGAAGCTTGTGTTTGATTTGTTCGCTAAGTTAACGAGTCAAACACGAACACTTTTTGAGCACTAGATATATAAACGAGCCGAACACTAATAAAGATTTGTTCGTTCGTGCTCGAATTATTTTTGGTTGAAATACTACTCATTATACGAGGTTAAAAAATTTATAATCAATTAAAATTATTATTTAAAAATAGAATAAAAATGTATTAAAATTAAAATTAAAGGTTGTTTTTATATAAATAATAAAATTTAAATATTTCTCTACACTTAACATTCTATGGCTGTTATTAAAATGACTCATTGTTCATGAACAACTCGTTTTTAGTTCGCTAAGCAAATGAGCCGAACATGAACACTCTTTTTTTTGTTTGAAATATAAACGAGCCGAACATAAATAGTGATATTTTTTTAATGAGCCAAACACGAGCTGATCCTGGGTTCGCTCTTGTTCGACTCGTTCACACTCCTATTTGGGACATTATTTTATATAGTTTGTTTCTAAGAATGAGAAAATTTTATGTAGATTAGTCTAGTCAAAATTATTTTATGTGTACAAATTAAAAATTATAAAGAAAATTTTTTTTTCTCATAACTAAAGAAGCCGTTAGTACAATATAATAAAAATGAATGTCGAAAGATCTCTTATGATAGTATTAGGATGAGTTTTGATGTGTTAAAATTGTTATTAGGCAATGTAAATTAAATGATTTTGAGAATCGAGATTTAAATCCCCGTTAAGTTAGTATTTGTTTTGACATGAAGGGGGGTTGAGATATTGAAAAGATAACGAATAGATATTAGTCGCTAACAAATGTCATATATTGGTCGTTGCCAAATATCATATGATAGTCAATAAAGAACATTAAAAGTAGGGTGATTGTAAGTAGTCAACTTGATCATTTCATGATTTGAGGCGAGGCCACAAATGAGAAGACCATTGTCGAATGTTGGTGGTTGATGTTGGATGGAGCCCAGTCTGGTTCGCTCGATTCCGTTATCCCGCTCCAGCTCATGATCGCAGAAAGTCGTGACTCCTGCTGTTCGCGAACCGCTCCCGCTTCCTCTGTCGTTTTGTGAATCAACGCTGCCCCACTCCTTCGCAAATAGTAGCCTCCTCTCTTTCTCTTGAGAGTGATCAACTGCAAGGCTTTTTTGTGTTCTTCTTCGAGCTTCATCGGGATAGAGGAAGAGAAGTGAAGCTGTAGTTCCTTGCAGCAGAAGGAAGAAGAAAGAAGAAGGAAAGAAGAAGAAGATTTAAGAAGAAGAAGATTTCTCTCCCTTGGCTTCTTTTTGGTGGCTTGTGGCAGAAGAGAAATTGAATTTATTTCTCTTGTAAGTTTATGTTATCGGTGTATCTTGGTGTAGAGAGAGAAGAAGAGAGAGAGCAAGGAAGTGAGAGATTGCACTTGTAAGTCGAGACGATCGATTGGTGTAAATTCCTCAAGTAGTAAAATCCTCAGCAACTCTGTGGACGTAGGCAATTTGTCGAACCAAGTAAATCTGTGTGTTCCGCTGTATTATTGTTTTCTAATATGAATTTTCTCGTTCTATTTTTCCATTCTTAAAAGATCATTCTTCTATTTTATATATATACCACAACAACTGGTATTAGAGCTGTGTTTTTGGATCTAAGGAAGAATGATGATTGCAGATGAAGTGAAGGTTTCAGGGATCAAGAAAATTGATGGAACATATTTTGGTTATTAGAGGATGCAGATAGAGGACTACCTCTATGTGAAGAAACTTCAACTTTCGTTATTGGGGAAAAGACCTGAAAAGATGGATGAGGCTAAATGAAATATGTTGGATCAACAAGTTCTGGGGTTATTTGATTGATCATGTCAAGGTTCGTTGCGCACAACGTCGTTAAGGAAAAGACGACTGAAAATCTCATAGCAACCTTATCAGGTATTTATGAAAAGCAATTGACGAATAACAAGGTGTACTTGATGAAGAATTTATTCA